CTTGTCTGATATGTAATGGGAGGAATTGTGTGGTTTCCTCTCATCTTAGACCTTTGTGCCTGGCAGATGGGATTCAAAGGAGAATTCAATGGCTCCTTCTGGAACTCCTTCTGGAATTTTTGCTGAAAGCTAAATGAGTGGCTGGTTCCAAGAAACATCCACAAATTCCCTCTTCCCCCTCCTGCCCCTGTCCACATCTGGCACTGCAGTCCAGGAAGTTTCGATGTATTGATGTGAATGGGCGGAAAGATGCTCGATAGCTCCTTGCCGTGTAATCCCGAAACTTGCTCCGCAGCCAAGCAGACGGATATTGCCATATATTATTAAACAGACATTTGCTTTCTTCGGAGACGCTGCAGAAATGGCATCGTTTTGAAAGGAAGCCAGCGTGGCTCGGTTAAAACAGCAGCAACACAGCTCTTCGTTCTTTAGAGAATTTTGGAAGGGTTTTTACTTTTCAAAAGTAACGTCCTGCCTCACACCAACAAGAACAAAAAATATCCCCAAATCAACCAAACAAAGTGGGGAAAGACTGGGGAGAAAATCAAAAACTTTAGGAGACATGTGGCTCTTCTGATTTTGTTGGACTAATTATAATTATAATTTATTATTTGTACTATGCCCATCTGAATGGGTTGTTCCAGCCACTCTTCCAGAATATGTAAAAATATAATTAAATGTTAAATCTTAAAAAGCTTCCCTGTACAGGGATGCCTTCAAATGCTTATTAAATGTTATATAATTACTCATCTCCTTAACATCCACTACCATTGGCCGTGTCAACTGATGGGAGTCAGAGTCCAACAAAGTCTGAGGAAAGACAGGGGAAACATTAAATTTAATTCCAATTTAAAGATGTATCTGTCAAATTTGCATGCTACAAAACTAAATGAGGACCAAAACACACGCACCCTTTGAAATTCCCACTCATCCAAATTTCACGATGCGGTACTCCCAACCAAACGATATTTACAAAAATGAATACATTGGGGGACATTGGCATAGAACGAATATATGGCTGAAAATAGCATGCACTATATTAGGAGAGATTGCTTTAAAAGTGTACATTAAAAAGGTTACTAGGAAAAATTATTGCTATAGCGCTGAATAATTTTCATGAGGATTTTTCCAAAATTTTAAATTGCACCTTCCTGCAGAAATGTGGAGGAAAGGTTGGGAAAATGAGAAACAGAGGACCCAAACTGCTGAACTGTTCTCTTGTATTTCTAGCCCACAAAGTCTGAGCTTAGATGTGATCTTTATCTGAGATTATTATTTATCCGTAGGAAGGATTCCTCTAATGCCATTGTGCAAACTGATTTAAGGGTGTGTGTGTAGAGGTACATGATCTTCAGTTTCTGAGCGTCCTGAAACTTAATTGCTATTGAATGAAGAACTATTGCTAACTCTTTGGGTTGGCAATCCCTGACCACACCGCTTTTGGTTTTGTTTTTGCTGTGGGCTGCTGTTCTCAGCCAACATCCCTGGAGTTTGAGATATACCTCCTGTGAAAAGTCCCAACCCTCTGCATATTTCCTAGCAATATTTAGTACGTTGACACCTTTAAAACATTATCCAGATGGTATTTGATACCCCATAAATTGGCATATATAAAGTTTTATAATAAGTACGAAGCCTCTGGTAGCACCACATACGTTATTGTAACTAAGCCTAAGTACGTGCAACTGAAATAATGGCATATTCTTGCCGGATTAGCCTTGTCTCCATTTCCCACCCCTTCCTACAATGCCAGCCTTGTGTCAGCATCTAGACTGTAGTCTCTTTGGGGCAGGGACCTGACAGCTCATTCCTTCTAGCGCATCATGCACGTGAGTGGAAAAATATTAATTTAGAAAGAAATAATATTGATCCATGTAGAGATGAAGGATATAGCTTTCCAAATACTGACAATGGTCGTAAAAGATCTACACTGGCTTTCAGTACATTTTTGAGCACAATTCAAAGTGTCGGTGTTGACCTTTAAAGCCCTAAATGGCCTCAGCCCAATATACCTGAAGGAGCATCTCCACCCCCATCGTTCAGCCTGGACACTGAGATCCAGCTCCAAAGGCCTTCTGGCGGTTCTCTCACTGCAAGAAGCCAAGTTACAGGGAACCAGGCAGAGGGCCTTCTCAGTGGTGGCTCCTGCCCTGTGGAACACCCTCCCACCAGATAAACAATTATATGACTTTCCGAAGACATCTGAATGCAGCCTTGTGTTAGGAGGTTTTTAATGTTTGGTATTTTATTATGCTTTTATATTTATTGGAAGCCGCCCAGAGTGGCTGGGGCAACCAGTCAGATGGGTGGGGCCCAAATAATAATAATAATAATAATAATAATAATAATAATCCATATTTCTAGCTCAGAGTTGTTTTCCAGATCATCTGTTCATCCTGTTACATGCAATGAGTTTTTACACCCATTGTGTGAGACTAGCAGCTATAAAGGAGATGAACCACCTGCCTAGAGCATTTGGATTTAGATATTAATGCTGAATGATGGGGGGATATTTTTTCCATCCTGACGTCCGCATGCCCTTGCAGAGCCCATGTGCCACTGGTGTGTGGGGCCAGAGGCAAAAAGTGGGTGGGGCCAGGGGTGAGAATTTGACCTTTGTACAGAAGGCTGCATTCCAGCTACAGAAGTGCCAGAGGTCTACATCTGTCTGTCCAGGCAAACAAGGGGCAATCTCACGGTGCAAAGGGCACATTCCAGCAACGCCAAAACACTTGAAGCGGGCATGGGGCTGGACTGCTGTGGGGTGTGCCCTGGGGAGGAGTCAGAGCCCCCAGGAAATTCTGAGGTCCAGATACAGAGGCCTGAGGTCTTGTATCCCTGCATTTCATTTGGGTGAAGAGACATAACTCTGTGGTAGAACATCTTCCTTGCTTGCAGAAACCCCCAAGTTCAGTTCCCACGGAGGGCTGAGTGAGTCTCTTTTCTCGAACCCTGGACAGCTGCTGCCAGTCAGTGTAGGCTACTTTGAGTTCGATGAACTAATGGACTGACAGCTTCTTACGTTCCTACTCTCACAGCTAGTCCGTTAGCAGATGCTATTAAAACTATTTTGTGACAAATGAATGCAGTATTTTAGCTGCATACATCTGTTATGTGGGGGCAGTGTTGATTTGTTTTGTTCTTGTTAATGTTAATAATAATAATAATAATAATAATAATAATAATAATAATAATTTTTTTATTTATACCCCGCCCTCCCTGGCCAGGGTCGAATTCAGGGCAGCTAGCACCGAATATAAATTACAATACAATGTAATAGAAAAAAAGAAAAAAGCAATTAATTAAAATACGGCTTAAAATACAGCATAAAATGTATTTTATTTTGCATTTTTACGCTGTGAACTTCACTGTGATCTTCAGATGGATATACTAAATAGCTAGCTAGCTAGCTAGCTAGATGGATAGATAGAATTAAAACAGGAGGGAGGAGGGTTTTCATCTATAACTTATATTTCAAAATCCCTCAACTCCTGACCTTCATTAAAACAAACTATAAAATGTGCATCAGGAAGCTTGGTGATTTGAGGTTCCCTCCATACATGAAACTCCTGTGACTCTTTTCTGGGGAAAAAATGTGTTTCATCTATTTTCTCTCCTCTGATTTTTATGCTGTCTTTGTGTTTTGGAGAGGTCCCATGTGTATGTTTGTTTGTGCGTCTGTTTGTCTGTCTGTGGTTAATTACCATTGCCAGGGTAACAATGGAAGGAAAAATACAGCAGGCGTCAGATCTGTGAAATTGTGAAGTAGACAATGCTTTTTCCATCTGGCACTTGCTTGTACTTAAAAAGCAGAACAACAGCAACACACTTGAATGAATTGTGAGGAGCAGGAGCCTGAGTTAACACTGCGAGGCCAGAATCCCTCTTTGCCTGGGAATTAAAAGGGCAGGGATGGCATTGCACATTTCAGCTTGACACTTGTTTGTTTTCACAGGCTGCAGAAGATGGGGAGGGTTAGAGGTTAAAATAATACTGAACGGGGTCTTCCTCATCTATCGGTTTTACTCTCCTCTTCCTGGGTGTTATTGGAAGCAGCCTGAGCAGAATGCGGGGTTTGGGGGAGGTTGGTGGACGTTCGGGAATAGGACTTGGGGTGGAAGGGATGGGATAGAATGGAAATTTGGGTTGGGGTTTTGCGTAGCAAGCTGATTCTTCCGCCTCCCCTAGGAAATGCGTTGAAAAGTGTGGCGTGTAAAGGTAAAGGGACCCCTGACCATTAGGCCCAGTCGTGACCGACTCTGGGGTTGCGACGCTCATCTCGCTTTAGTGGCCAAGGGAGCCAGCGTACAGCTTCCGGGTCATGTGGCCAGCATGACTAAGCTGCTTCTGGCGAACCAGAGCAGCGCACGGAAACACCGTTTACCTTCTCGCCGGAGCGGTACCTATTTATCTACTTGCACTTTGATGTGCTTTCGAACTGCTAGGTTGGCAGGAGCAGGGACCCAGCAACGGGAGCTCACCCTGTCGCGGGGATTCGAACCACTGACCTTCTGATCGGCAAGTCCTAGGCTCTGTGGTTTAACCCACAGCACCACCCACACCCAAATGACTAATGGGAAGATGTGTAACACCCCGCAAGCAAACTGGGATGGATGCAGAATGAATGCCCACTGTCCTGTAACTGCTCTGTAAACAAGTCAGAAAGGAGTCTTGGTAAAAGACCTAATGGGCATGTAAACTTTGCAAATCAAGATGAATGCTGAAAATCTGAATCACCCGGGAGGTCCCTAAGTGTACATTTGTAAAGCGTAACTGTTGGCTGGTGTGTTTTCTGTTGCCCTGAATCCATCTCAGCTGCCTCTAAGCCCCCACGGTTGCTGCTCTAGAACTACCAGTGAGACTTGCAAAGCCTCTGGGAGGTAAACTGATTCAGGGCTGGTATACATGTGCTATCTAAGATTCATAGAACTGTAGAGTTGGAAGATACCCCAAGGGTCATGTAGTCTAACCCCATGAAAAGCAGGAATCCTTCCCACAGCCGTCTCAGGTTGGGCTCGAACCACCAACCCTTTGGTTAACAGCCAGACGCGCTGACCAGTTGCACCACCATTCCGCACCTCGTCCTCCCAAGTGTCAGGCCAGATCATATCCTTGCTGCCATTATCCTCCCGAGTTAAGTTTGAATCTTCGTTTACACGCCGTGTGGAAAATGTAAGTCCTATGCAAGCAGTCTCGTAATAAACCTTTGGATGGTTTCGCAGTTCCCGGAGTTGCAAAGAGTGGACAGTGTACAGTAAATGAAGCAGACCATGATAAGACATGAAACACCCCCCTGCAAATCCCCAGCAACAACGCTTTATCCTTGTTGTCTATGTTCTTATAATTTTTTCCATGTACCATTTGGAGTCTGTCAGTTTCCCCTGTGCAAACATTACAGCATCCAGAGGGAATGAGACTTGCTTTACCTGTGACCACAGATTCAAATGCTAGGCCTGATAGGGTAAAGCAAAGCAAAGGCAGATTTGAGGCCTGCAGAGACACCCTGTCGTCTTGATGGACAGGCCAAACCTGCCCGTGCTAAAGTTTAATTCCTACTTTCTCTTTTCTCCTTCCTCTATTCCTATTTCTCCTTTCTCCTGCCTCTGTCCTAGCTTCCTGTCAACTCACAGAGTCAGGGATGCAACGTTGAAACTGTGCTTTCATGAAGACCCACCAACCTTCAAGTTCAGGGAAAGCTAGTGTACTTAGAATATACTAGCATTTAGCATTGTTGATTACTGGTGGGTTCCCTCTCTTCCCTGCCCAGCCAGCCAGCTTTAACGGAGGGGACACGTGCCACTGTCTGAATGGGCAATCCCTGTTGTAAATTCTAGAGTTCTTTCAGTGCGTAGGAGGAATCAGAGCAATATAATCTGCTCTTCTGCCAAAGGAGCGAGAAATTCGAATGTCAGTGAACTCGTATGCAGTAGTACCGTTCCATCACCAGCCTTCACCTTCCTCTGGTCCCTGTCAACTCCATAGCCTCTGATGTTACAGATCCAATGTCTCTCAAAGTATGAGGTTGGTCTCCTTAAGGAGATGTGGGAACCACTAAAGGCCAGGAGGTAGCATTTCAACTGCATCTTAAAAGCTGACCCAGTACAATAAGCCATTGTGCTATATTGGACAAGATTGCGTGGCTGGCAAATACCAAGTTAGGTGTGAATTCTCTGGACATGATGCTAAAAACATAGGTTAGCGTTTCAGGAATGAGCTGCAGTGAATCCTGGGCTTGCATACTCTCCTCTCCCTCCTGTTCTAGCATAGCTGTGATGCAAAGTTTGGAAGCTATTCCTAGTGTCCTAAATTTCCTGCAGCTTGCCGTGTTATTTGAACCAAGACAACCTGTGGTTAATCTTGACTACAGTTAGTTTAAACAAGCCAACTTCAAACCATAGTTTATGAAGCAGGCTTGTTTCAACTAACCATGGTTAAGATTAACCTTAGTTTATGGTACAGATGATATGGGAATTTTAAATGAGTCCTTATTGTTTCTCAAAGACAGTTAGCTTGCAAATGTGCCATCTGAAGTTAACCTATTATGTCTCTGTGTTCCTCCTTTTCAGTTATGAAACAAATGGGAATTTGCTGAATGAATTAATTGTTACTCCATTGTAAAAGCCCATCCTGAAAACCATTATGCATGGTAGCTTAAAAAGCCCTGCAGAGATTAATTAAAAGTAGCTTCCCCTTCTTAATTAGGGCTCTCAGGAAATAATTGATTACAAATTGCAACAGGCTTGCTGCACAATGTTTGCTTGATATTGCTAATGATAAGTTTTTACCTAATTAGTTCACCATTGACATTGGGAAGCAGCTGCACTCAGTTACTGTAAATCTGACATTAGTAAATCTTATTTTCCGCCCCTCCCCTTCCAGAAGAATTATCCTTACCAAACCATTATTCCCATACTGTTGAAGTCCTAGGGAAGAATGCCAAGTTAGAAGCAGGAAATGGATCATATAATAGCTAGCATGTGCTGGATGTGATGTTTTCAGTCCAGCGTTGTTCTAAGGGTCAACACTACCTAAAGCCCTAAAATGTAACAGTCTTCTACATCCTGGTATAACTTCTCAACAGGGTCAGCATATTTCGTTGGGACCTGTTCCAAAGATCGAGGAAGTGCTCTATGAATATCAGCCATTGCATGTGGAGACCTACGGGCCGCCAGTTCCAGATATTGAAGTGTTGGGGAAATTTGGGTAAGTTTTTCCTTATTTATTTATTTTAACCAACGTCGCTGTCAGTGAAATGGTATTCAGGCAGGAAACTTGCCACCTTATCCCCCAAATAAAGGGAGGTGGTTGGGGGGGAGTGAAAGCAAAACAGACCTTAATGAAATACTAGACTTCCTGCCCAAATCAATGTTTTGTTTGGGTGACCGAATATACATTTTTTTTTTTTGGTTTTGTTTCTCTCTTGCTCTCTTTCTGCTTTTCTGGTCTTTTATAGATCAGCTGAGAATTCGGCTGGATCGCATTCATGTTTTCAAGGTTGCCGTTGGCAGCTAAGGAGAAGTAGCTGTTCATTTTCAGTTGCACAGCATTAAAGAGCAAAACCCCTCCAAAAACGGGGGGGGGGGGGGGCGCCTTGATTTGTCCAGCCGTAGGAGGCCAGGAAAAATATCAGGGCTGGCCCTTTGCCATGAGAGGGGTTTGATCTGGCGTTCTGGTCCAAAGCTCAGTGGTGTGTTCCATCCATCAGAAGAGCATTCATTGTCCAAGCTCCATTTGAGCCTGGATTGGGAGAACTGGCTCGCCTCCCTGTGCAATTTGTGAGATAGTTCCAAATGCATGAAAGGTCTTTCCCATGGCTTCAAAAATGAAAGGCCCTTTTGCAGATTTTTGTCCCTTTCTCCTAATACCAGCACCCAGCACACCAGCTCTATTTCTCCTTTACATCTGCAGGTGAGGCAGTGGAAGTGCTGGAATAATAATAATAATAATAATAATAATTATTATTATTATTATTATTATTTCCCCAGCCACTCTGGGCGTCTTCCAACAAAATACTAAAATACAGTGGTCTGTTAAACATTAAAAGCTTCCCTAAACAGGGCTGCCTTCAGATGTCTTCTAAAAGTCTGGTAGTTGTTGTTCTCTTTGACATCTGGTGGGAGGGCGTTCCATGGGGCAGGTGCCACTACCGAGAAGGCCCTCTGCCTGGTTCCCTGTAACTTGGCTTCTCGCAGGGAGGGAACCACCAGAAGGCCCTTGGCGCTGGACCTCAGTGTCCGGGCAGAACGATGGGGGTGGAGATGCTCCTTCAGGTATACTGGACCGAGGCGGTTTAGGGCTTTAAAGGTGAGCACCAACACTTTGAATTGTGCTCGGAAATGTACTGGGAGCCAATGTAGATCTTTCATGTGGTCTCAGTGGCCACTCCCAGTCACCAGGCTAGCTGCCGCATTCTGGATTAGTTGCACTTTCCGGGTCACCTTCAAAGGTTAGTGTCTTGCCTCACTAATGGACTGGATGAGAGCCAACAAACTGAAGCTCAATCCTGATAAGGCTGAGGCACTGTTAGTGGGTGGTTCCCTAGACCAGATGGGTGGGAGATCGCCTGCTCTTGATGCGGTTATACTTCCTCTGAAAGGGCAGGCTCGCAGCTTGGAGGTACGCCTGGATCCTTTGCTGTTGTTCGAGGCTCAGGTGGCCTCAGTGGCCCAGAGTGCTTTCCATCAGCTTCAGCTGGTGGTTGAGCTACGCCCCTATCTGGACAGAGATAGCCTAACTACTGTCGTCTGTGCTCTGGTATACTCAGGGATAGATTACTGCAATGTGTTATACGGTTCGGAAACTTCAGCAGGTGCAGAATTCAGCGCCCGGGTTACTTACTGGAGCAAGACGGTTTGAGCATATTACACCGATCCTGGTCCGACTGCACTGGCTACCAATTAGTTTCTGGGCCCAATTCCAAGTGCTGGTTTTGACCTATAAAGCCTTAAACGGCTCAGGACCGCAATACCTCAAGGACCTCCTCTTTCCATATGAACCTACTTGGACCCTGAGATCATCTTCTGAGGCCCTCCTTTGTGTGCCACCTCCTTGAGAGGTCCGAAGGGTGACAACGTGAGAACAGGGTCTTCTCTGCAGTGGCTCCCCATCTGTGGAATACTCTCCCCAGGGAAGTTTGCCTGGTGCCTTCATTATACACCTTTAGGTGTCAGGCAAAAACGTTCTTTTTAGGGATGTTTCTAATGTTTGGTGATTTATTGTATTTTTAATATTTTGTTGGAAGCCGCCTAGAGTGGCTGGTGAAACATAGCCAGATGGGCGGGGTATTAATCATCATCATCATCAGGCCTTTGGTTGACCGGATTGACATCTGACATCCTATACCCTTTTCAAATGTGGCTCTTTTTTGGGGGGGTGTTGTTGTTATTGGGTCATTGTTCTTCTTTTGATTTTATATATTGTAATCTTTTCTGTGAACCACCCTGAGACCTCTGGGTATAGGGTGGTATATAAATTCAAAAAACAAAACAAAACAAATAAATGACGCTGAATGTTGGAAGGTTCAGAACAGACAAAAGGAGGTTCTTCCCACGGCACAGTAAAACTTTGCAACTTGCTCTTGCGAGAGAGAAGTGACGGCTGCCAACGTGGATGACTTTAACAGGAAACTAAAAGATTCTCCTAAAGATTTCAGAATAAGGCATCGCAAAGGAAGGTCAAGCATAGAATCAGCATAATTAGCAAGGGAATAAAATGTTATCCTAAACACAGAATGTGTCCGTGGTTCATCATATTCAGCAACCAGGTTCAAAAACGCACAGCCATCACCTTACAGGAAATTGGGTGGGTTGAGGGCGATGCTGCTTTCCGTCATTCTCATTTTGCCCCAGGATACTTTTGGGCCTCCGCATTATAAGTATTGGTTGCGGCGGGTGGGAGAGCAGGCTTCCTTATGGCCCTGGTGCTTGGAGAGTAGGTGGCAGAAGGCCGTTCTCAAACGTGTGCCAGCCCTGACACCAGCAGATGTCTTATTGACAGTGCTGTTCTTCAGAGTCTGTGGACAACAGTTTCACGGCCAGTTTATAGCAGAAACGGCGGGGGGGCATAATAG